GGGGGGGGGGGGAGGGGGAGTTAATGTTTGATGAGTTTGTTTTGCAAGGAGATGGACGGTGGCGATGGTTGTGACACATGTAAATGTGTACTTAAAGAGTTAGCTGCCACTTCTGAGCAGAGGGAAGGGAGATGCAGTCACACGTGTCCTGGCTCCCAAGGTCATATGTTGCGTGCGAGATGACCAGGGCTCCTGGCCAGGTGCTGGCGCACTTGACTTCTGGGCCTGCCTGAACTTTCCCAGGCTGCTGGGCGCGGGGGAGAATGGACTGCAGCTGGCCAGGGGCACTCCCGCCCAGCATCTGATGCTCATTTCTTAATGACGGTGGAATTCTTGGCTGGTCTTTGACTCCCTCTGGAAGTGTCTTGCGTCTTGGGGACAGTTTCCCCCTCTGTCGAGGGGCGAGAATAGCTCCCACCGTCAGCCCCCTCCCCTGGCTGTCATCCCTCCTGCAGCCCCATTTTCAGAGGTTTTCCCTTGGGTTGGGGGCTTCACATACATGACCCTTGACCCTCACGCCAGACCTCAGGGAAAGGGAACATGACAAGGGAAAGGCAGCTTTTCCCAAGCCCTGGCCCTGGCTGCTGTTCAGATGAAGTCATGGAGACGGGTCCAGGTGGCATGGGCAGTAGGGGTGAGGTTGGCCACCCGGTCGGTCCTTGCGCTGCAGAGAGTCACTCCTGCCCAGCGATCGGTGCCAGAACCTGCAAAAGAGTAACTGAAAGATTCTTACCTTTCAAGCATGGTAACATCGCAGCAGGCAGCGAGCCAAGGGCCATTCAGTCCTCATCCCATGCGCCCATCTGGCTGGATGAACTTGGGGGTCCTGGCCTTTTTCCTTTCTCCTCTATGCAAGCGGGGCGGGGGCGGGGAGGGCAGATGGAATGCCCCTCCCAGCCCCTGGGGCACTGGCTCTGGTGGCTTTTCTGAAAAATGTCATCCCCTGCCTCCACCTCTGGGAGAGAAGGGGTGGAGCCCATCTTACTGCCACGTCCCAAAGCCCCTCTCACCCTCTCCTCAAGCGTCCCCC